CAAAAGAATATCTTTGAATGGTGCAGAGATGGAAAAGATATGTACATTTTCAAAATCACAAATGATAAGGGAAAAAATGATCCATTTGATTGCATCAAAATTAAGGATTTCTATTCAATGAAGCTCACCAGGGAAAAATTAATAGGCAGACATAGAATGATAGAAAATATTTGCAATGTCCAAATCTGACAAAGAACTGATTTTTTTTTAATGTCTTGTCAATCAACAAGAAAAATACTTCAAGAGAAAGCAGGCAGAGACTATAAGGAGGGAATTTACAAAAGAAGAAAGCCAAGGTGCTAACAAGAGTTTAAAGGGATGCTCCAAGGCGTAAGTAATCAGAGAAAACTGCAGTAAGATATCGCTGTTCACCTACTGAACTGACAAATACTAGAAATCCAAATAATTTCTCATGTATCTGATTAAAATCTTGTATAGTCCATTCTGGATTTAAAAAGACTGACCCTCTTCAATGCTGGTGAGGGAGCAGAGGAACTGGAACCCTCATACGTTGCTGGTGTGAATGTAAAATAGTTACAACCACTTTGGAAAAGAGTTGTGCAGTTTCATGAAAAGTTAATAAACACCTATCATATAATCCAGCCATTCTACTCCTAGATGTTTTCCAAGAGAAATGAAAGCATATGTCCATACAAAGACTTGCACATGAATGTTCCTAGCAGCTTTATTTATAAAAGCCTAAAACTGAAATAACCCAAATGTCCATCAACAGTTGAATGCATAATCAAATTGATTGTTATTGATAATCAAATCAATAATATTCAGCAATAAAAAGGAATGTACTCTTGATCCACACAACAGCATAGATGAATCTCAGTAATTAAGTGAAAAAAGCCAGACAAAAAGAGTACATTCTGTATGATTCTATTTATATACAATTCTAGAAAATGCAAACTAGTCTATAATGACAGAAGGCAGATCAGTGGTTGCCTAGAGGGTGGGGGAAAAGGCTGAAGGGAGGGATTACAAAGAGGTACAAGGAAACTTTGGGGGTAATGGATATGTTCATTATCTTGATTGTGGGGTGGCGTCACGGATGTTTATGTATGTCAAAACTTATCAAATTGTATGCTTTAAATATGTGCACTTTATTTGTCAGTTATATTTCAATAAAGCTGTTTTAAAAAATAAAAACAAAAAACCTTATTCAATTCAATCTATTCTAAGCACTATATGAGTATTACATTATTCACCTTTATTAAAACCCTAAGATGCAAATACTATTATTATCTCCCTTCTCATTTTACAGATGAAGTGAATTAGGCGCAAAGAGCTTAGGTATCTTTCCCAAGGGCACAAAGTTAGTAAGTGTCAGAGCTGGGGCTCAAACTCAAGCAGTTTGGACCCAGAATCCTTAACTCTGCTGCCTCCGGGCGGATGCTGACTGAGAGGTGGTGGCGGCAAAACCCTCCCACACCGCTGATGGAAGTGGAGGCTGGGACAGCCATTGTGACGAGTGAGCTGGTAGTACTTAGTCAAGTTAGGTATAAGTATACCCTATGACTCAGCAATTCCACTCCTGGAGACAGACATAAATAAAGACATAGACATGGGCATAGGCAGAGATACATCTCCCAAAGTAGTTCTCATAGGACTCCGTAATGGACCTTGTATGAAAATGTTCATTGCCATATTATTTCTTGCGGTTGGGAACTGGAGGTCACATGGGTGCTCATCATTGAGATTGTGAGCAAGTCAAATGCGGTGTGACTGATACTGTGGAGTATTATGCAACAATAAATTAGATAATCACAGAACATGAGTGGGTTTTTAAAAACATAGTGCTTACTGAAAATAGGTAAGATCAGAATGAAATGTATAACAAGATGCTATTTACATAAATTAAAAATGTCTGCACATAAAACAACTCATATTTTGCAAGAGCAGAAACAAAAAAAGTGAGCATATTAAATGCTTGGAATGGCTGCCTTTTGAGTGAAGACAAATGAGAAATGGGTATGGAAATAAAAGAGAATAGTTTTAAAATAAAAACAAAATAAGACATAGATCAGTGAAAACAATGTACCAAGAACAGTGTCATTAATTCAATTCTCTGCACCTGAGACCCTAATATATAGACAAAATGCAGTGAAGGGACAAAGGGAGGAGATAACATTGCTGGAGCTCAAGAGTCAAGGTTTCCCTCTGGAAGCTGGAAGCAAAGTGGGTCTGTAGAGTAGGAGCTGGAGGCAGAGAGAGGGAGAGAGAAACATCCTGGCTTTCTCCTGCCCTCCGATCACTCACCTACCATGGGCTGAATCCAGCCAGAAGGCACTGAACACAGGAGCTTGGAAAACAAAAACCTGCAGGAACTAGCTCCCCACAATATAGGGCAGAATTTAGGAAGGGCTACAATTGGTTCTGAGATCAAACAGGCCAAGGATTACTATGCAAGATCAACACACACGTACACTCACACACACACACATACACATGCTCCAGTGCAAAGTTCTCACTTGTGTCATGTGTCTCTCCCTCCTTTCCAATCCTCTATCAATCAACCCCTTACCCCCGCTTCCGTGACATTTTTCTTCTTCTCTCCCAACTCTCTCCTTATTCCTCTTTTCCCTCCTCTTCTATTTCCCCATCACTTTCTCCACGCTCTTTAAACTACTCCATCTCCTATGTCTAGCTCTGACTGGCTTTTCTTGATTCCACTTTCCCTGGGGTTTAAACTCCTATAAGGGTCCCTGAGAAGCATCAGAAACAAAGCATCTGAATGACAGCAGGGATGTGCCTTGCCCCAAGGGGCAGGACAGACCCCAGGGTGCTGGACCCCAGCCCTGGACTCTACCTACTACACTGACTGGTCACCTGCCCCCAACCTCTGCCCTCCCTCCTAGTCTCTTTTTCCTCTCGGCACCTTTCTAGGCTTTTCCCCTCTCCTTGCCCTCCTCCCTTTGTGGTACTCCAGCATCCCTGGTTCTCCTTTTACCTTCCTGATCCGTCCTCTCTGCTTCCATCAATTGCCTCTGTTCCTTTCTGCTCATAAATGACTGGTTCTCCTCAACGTTCAGACCTTAGTTCTTCATCTATATCCCCTTAGTCAGATAGGTGGAGCCATTCACCAAATCACAAAGCTGTTCTCCTTTGTGATTGCTCCCCAATCTGCACTCTTGGCCATCAGGAGCAGACCTTCATTTCATTCATTCGACAAACATTTACTGAGTGCCAGCCCCTAGGCTGGGTGCTGGGGATACAGAGGTAAACAAGGTGACTTTCTGCCCTCAAGGCTGAAGTACAGAGAAGAAATGATGACAACATACTACATTGGGGACACAGCTTTCTGGAGGAAAGCCAAGGGAAGTTTCACAGAGGGGGGTGAGGATTTTTTGAAGGATGAATAGGAGTCCTCTGGTGTTCCAGACTGAGGGATTAGTATGACAAAGGCACCAAGGAGTGGAACAGCACTGTGTCTTCTGAGTACAAGGAGTTAGGTATTAAAACTTGGAGAGGATAGAAGGTGAGGCAGAGATAGGAAAGGCAGGAGGTTTTGTTCACTCTGAAAAGGGGTTTGAATTTGACAGTGGGGGCAACAAAGAGCCAGTGTTTTGGGGGGTGGGAGTGATGAGACTGAACTTTTCGTACTATTGTACTCTGCCCTCCATTGTAAGGGAAGAGGAGGGGCAGGAAGACCAGTCAGTCAGGCGGTGGGCTGGACCAAAGTGGCAGCATTACAGGTGGAGAAAATGAGATGAATGTGAGTTTAGGAGGTCAAAACACCAATGTCGGTAAAACCGAATAAAGTGGGGTGCAGGAGAGGAGGAATCAAGCATGACTTCCAGGATTCTGATAGGAGTGACAGGATGGCTAACTGGAATAAGAAAGTCAGGAGGAGGAGCAGGTTTGGACATGCTGATCATGTGAGCTGCCCCATCCAGGCGGTAGCTGAACACTCGGATCTGGAGCTCCAGAATGAGGAGTGGGTTAGATGTAACTGAAGCCTTAGAGAGGTAGAATGGCGAGGGACCGTGGGCCAGAGACTATCCTGGCCCGATCCGCTGCGGAGCCTCGCTCTCCCTCCAGGTGGCACTACAGTCCCACGCTTCGGAGCCGCGCGCCCTGGGTATTCGGAGTGTTCCGCTGCTCTCAGGACTCGCTGACTGTAGGTCGCGCCCTCCTCGCTGTGCAGGATTTAACCGGGAATTCAAACCCCGAGCAGCCTCCAGAGAGCGTGTCCAAGTTGTCCACGCGGTCAGCACATGAGTGGCGACTCAGGGACCTCAGGAGTGGTGGAGTGGTTGGTGTGACCACCTGTCTCTCAGGCCTCCTCCAGAAAGCAAAGTGGGGGGCAAGTGGGGGGCAAGGTCCAAATGGACAGTGCCCGGAGCTGGGATGCAAGGAAAGTGGACCACCAAGCCCAGACCCTCGACTCACTAGGAGCGGAATTTCCTGTCCCCTAGGGCCACCTCTGCGTAGGAAGCGTGTAATGGACCCTTTAAGGCTCCATCTCCCTGCCCTCCCCCGCCCGGGACAAGCCGGGACACCCGGGACTTGACATTTGGCGTCTCCCGACGTGGGAGCTAAAAATAACTGCTCCGGGTTACTTCAGGCCATTGCTCCTCACCCACCCTGCGCCCGCCTCGCGCGCCGAGTCTCAGGCCGCCCGAGTTCTCTCCAGGGCAAGTATACCTGGCCCATCCCCTCCTCTCGGACCCCGCTGTCGCTTCTTCGTCGCTCTAAGTCGCTTCTTTGGCCCATAACCTTGGCTGGTGGGCGGAGTCTTCACAAGAGGAGGGGCGGGGCCTTCTGAGCTCGAAGGACGCTTTTCTCAAACCTTCCCAGCCGGATGCTGGCGGGAACCCGAGGGGTGTGTCTCCCCGAGCACGCTAGGGGGGCGTGGCCTCGCTGGCCGATCCGACCACTCCGCCAAACTCTAAACCCCCGGGAGGGGGCGTGGCCTTCTGGGGTGTGCGGGCTCCTGGCCAATGGGTGTTGTGAAGGGCGTGGCCGGGGGGCTGCGGGGGCGCCTCGGGTCTTTTCCCCCCAGCCCCGCTGGGCCAGATCCCCGGGAGCTGCTCTCTGGCTCCTTGGCTTGTGGCTGTGGGTCCCGCCAGGTCCGCGCTCCGCACATCGCTCCGGGACCCCCGTCGCCCCCGCGCCCTCTGCCCGCGAGGCCGGGGCCGCAGACCCGCAGTCGCCCCCCTCTCGTCTACTGCAGTTCCTGCTGCCTCCAGCTCCTAAGACGAGATGCCGTCGGGCTTCCAACAGATCGGCTCAGAAGTAGGATTCAGCATGCGGGGGCGGGACGGGGGCACCGGTCCCGCTTTTTTTGGGCTGGGGTCGCGGTTGGGGTCAGCTAAGGGGCGGTCCCTGCGCAGGCGCAGGGGGTGGGGGTGGGGGACTGGCTATTTATACCCCGGCTGGCCAACCCGTGACAGTCGGATTACAGTCCCTCCGAGAGGCAGAGTGGGTCTGGGGTACCATCCATGGGGACGGGCCACAACTGGATTCTGCGAGTCCGGGGTTCGCCCCCTTCTCTAGTATTTGGCGCGTTGCGCCAGGATCGGGAACACCCTGCCCTCGATCCAGCTTGAGAAAGCAGATCCAGGCGGGTCTTGCCGTCCAGGAGCTGTCCGTCTGTCCCGGCTCACGGGCAGTTTTTCGAGGACCGGAGGCTCTCCGTGGGTCCCCACCCCCACTTCTGGCCGTCCTCCCGGACGCTGAACTTTCCCTTGGCCCCACCGTTGGTGGAGGGGCAGAGGGGAGTGTCAGCCCCCCCTCCCCCAGCTCAGGTTTCCGCATGGAGACAATCTGTGCCGCCAGCGGCCACCACCGCCACCGCCCCTCACACCACCTTCCCGCCCCCATGGGCATGACTCTCCCAGGCAAAAGTCGGGCATGGTCCCCCGCCCTTCGTTGGAGCTTAGAGGGGGAGGGGAGGCCGGGGCGGAGACAGAGAAGGCCACCCCAAGGGCCATAGGCTGGAAGGAATGACCGCGATGTCCTTTTTGGAATTGCTCTTCTTGAACCTGTTGGGTGGGGGCTTCCAGGAGTCGCTGAGAGAAACCCCAGAGGGGAGGGAAGAGGACGGAGGCTGATGATGATAATGCTCATGTCAGTTTATAAAACCAGCGCTGTCAGGGATACAGTTACTGTTTGATTTTGATTTTCACACTTTCACTGACAGACGTCAGCCCTGTCTCCCTTAAGCTAGAGGAAGCCTAGTTCAGAGTGGGGAAGGGATTTGCCCAAGGTCACACAAATCTGAACTTAGGTCTCTCAAGGCCAAGCCCGTCCCAAGGTCACAGAGGAATGGTGAGACCTAGGTCCCAAACATTTCTCTGCCTGCTGATCTCAAACATCCAGTTTCTCCTCCATGCCCTGGTTTCTGTCGGGTTCTTCCTGCTTCTGTTTACACTGAGCTCTTCTCATGATTCCTAATATGGCCCAGTTTCTCTCACCCAGCATGTTGGATGGAACCCAGCATCTTAAGGCTCCTGCTGGGCCTGGGCCCCTGGAGAAAGGAAAGGAACCACTATTCCATGTGACATGCCTCTTCTCTGCTTCTGCCTGCCCAGGATGGGGAACCCCCCCAGCAGCGAGTCACTGGGACCCTGGTCCTCGCAGTATTCTCTGCTGTGCTTGGCTCCCTGCAGTTCGGCTACAACATTGGGGTCATCAATGCCCCGCAGAAGGTGAGGGGCCTGCAACCGGCAGAGTGGGGGTGCCCAAACAAGGAGGCAGGGATGTCAGGGGTGAGCAGAGAGGCAAGGGTCTGCAGCACATCACTCCTATGCTGTGCCCCCAGGTGATTGAACAGAGCTACAATGAGACGTGGCTGGGGAGGCAGGGGCCTGAGGGGCCGAGCACCATCCCACCAGGCACCCTCACCACCCTCTGGGCTCTCTCCGTGGCCATCTTTTCTGTGGGCGGCATGATCTCCTCCTTCCTCATTGGCATCATCTCTCAGTGGCTGGGAAGGTATGAGGCTGAAGGACAAGGGTGGGAGACAGGAAGGGAGCCACAGCGTGGGTGCCCTGACTCTCATGGCCCCACTCTTTGCCTGCCAGGAAGAGGGCAATGCTGGTCAACAATGCCCTGGCAGTGCTGGGGGGCAGCCTCATGGGCCTGGCCAACGCTGCTGCCTCCTATGAGATGCTCATTCTTGGACGGTTCCTCATTGGCGCCTACTCAGGTACCCACAGGCACCATGGCCTGCCCAGTGCCTTGCTCTCTTTCACCATCCCTGGGCTTGGGGGTGGGAGTGGGCAGCTGCCCTCAGCCCTCTCTTCTTCTCTCTGCCCAGGGCTGACGTCGGGGCTGGTGCCCATGTACGTGGGAGAGATCGCCCCTACTCACCTTCGGGGTGCCTTGGGGACGCTCAACCAACTGGCCATCGTCATTGGCATTCTGATTGCCCAGGTGACTGGACCTGGCCTCATGGGGGACAAGGCAGGGGTTTGGTGGGGCTCTGGGGAACAGGCTGAATGGCCTGCCCTCCTTTCCATCCTTCTCCCACAGGTGCTAGGCTTGGAGTCCCTGCTGGGCACTGCCACCCTATGGCCACTGCTCCTGGGCATCACAGTGCTGCCTGCCCTCCTGCAGCTGGTCCTGTTGCCCTTCTGCCCAGAAAGCCCCCGCTACCTCTACATCATCCGGAACCTGGAGGGGCCCGCCAGAAAGAGTGAGCTTCCACCCCATCTTGCTAGCACCTCTCCCCCCAGGGCCCCTCCCTGCCCTCTCAGACCTGACCCTCCTCACCTCCAGGTCTGAAGCGCCTGACGGGCTGGGCTGACGTGTCTGGAGTGCTGGCTGAGATGAAGGAAGAGAAGCGGAAGCTGGAGCATGAGCGGCCACTGTCCCTGCTCCAGCTCCTGGGCAGCCATGTCCACCGGCAGCCCCTGGTCATCGCAATTGTGCTACAGCTCAGCCAGCAGCTGTCGGGCATCAACGCTGTATGTGTGCGGCACCTCTGGGAGGGGCAAGGGTTAGGGAACAGCCCAAGAGGAGGGGAGAAGGGCGCCAGCCCCCTCTGTTAAAACTCAGGGTCAGGGTTGGCCCAGTGGCACAAGCGGTTAAGTGCGCACATTCCGCTGCGGCGGCCCGGGGTTTGCCGGTTCGGATCCCGGGCGTGCACCGACGCACTGCTTGTCGAGCCATGCTGTGGCGGTGTCCCATATAAAGTAGAGGAAGGTGGACATGGATCTTCCTCAGCAAAAAAAGAGGATTGGCAGATGTTTGCTCAGGGCTGATCTTCCTCACAAAAAACAAACAAACAAAAAAAAACTCAGGGTCAGTCCATCTTGATGTGGCTGCAAGGGAGGAAGAGACATCCCTGCCATCTCCTTTTCTTCTCCTCCACCTCTAGGTTTTCTATTATTCAACCAGCATCTTCGAGACGGCAGGCGTAGGGAAGCCAGCCTATGCCACCATAGGAGCTGGTGTGGTCAACACAGTCTTCACCTTGGTCTCGGTAACTGCCGGCCTCTGGAAGGGCCTCCACCATTGGCTTCACATCCCTGGGTGTTCTGGAGGTCCTACTCTTGGTGGCCTCCACCTACCCAACCCCTCCTACTTCCCATGCACTGAAGACCCCCTGCCAAGCCCTGCCTCTCCCCACAGGTGTTCTTGGTAGAACGGGCTGGGCGCCGGACACTCCATCTCCTGGGCCTGGCAGGAATGTGTGGCTGTGCAATCTTGATGACCGTGGCTCTGCTTCTGCTGGTGAGGCCTTGGGAGAGGGAAGGGGACCAGAGGCCCAACTCATGGGAATTGCCCCAAGAGGCTCTGTGGGCAGCCAAGGCCCCTTCTCAATCTACATGCCTTCCATTCTGAGGCCAGCCCGTGTGCCAGCTCCATGGTCTGTGCTCCTGTGGGACCCAGGCTGTACTTTCTCCCATTCTGGGAGGAAGCTGTAGCACAATTCTGGCAGCCAGGAAGGAGAGCCACTGTCAAGCCTCAGGAACAACAATTCTTAAGGACCCAGCTTTAGAATGAAGGGGGAATCAGCCATCATAAGAGCTGAGAGGGCCAGCCCCAGTGGCCTAGTGGTTAAGTTCAGCGCGCTCCGCTTCGGCGGCCCAGGTTTGGTTCGCGCTCTGTTAGCAGCCATGCTGTGCTGGCAGCCCACATATTAAAACAGAGAGGAAGACTGGCACAGATGTTAGCTCAAGGCGAATCTTCCTCAGCAAAAAAAAAAAAAGCTGAGAGACTATAACGTTCCCTCTGCCCTGAATTGGCATAGGGCAGCCAGCTGAATGTCAGAGCTCAGAAATGCTCAATTCCCTGTTCCAACCATGGGTGGCAGGCTCCCCCACGAGCTTCTGGGAGGAATAGATTTCAGTTCTCTGGGTTGAGGGCAAAGGAAGATCCAGAAAGACCTGACCTGAATTTCCCACCCTTCCTGCTTGGCCGCCCAGGAGCGAGTTCCAGCCATGAGCTACGTCTCCATCGTGGCCATCTTTGGCTTTGTGGCGTTCTTTGAGATTGGCCCTGGCCCCATCCCCTGGTTCATCGTGGCTGAGCTCTTCAGTCAGGGACCCCGCCCAGCAGCCATGGCTGTGGCTGGCTTCTCCAACTGGACGTGCAACTTCATCATTGGCATGGGTTTCCAGTATGTCGCGGTAGGTCTCCTGCCCCTGTCCCCTTTTCCCACACCATAAGCCAGAGGAGGGCAACTCACAGCTAGCCCACTTGCTTTCCAGCCAGGGACTCCCCCAGCCCACAGACTGCTGGTCTGGGGGTCACTTTGGTGGACCATGTGGGCCCTGAAGACCACTTGCTCCCCCAGAATCAAGTGAAAGAAGGGAGCTAAGCTAGATTGGATAGCAACAGAGGTGTCTTCAAAACAAACTAGTGGCATAACTTATTTCGACTAGGAATAAAATAATAAACTTCATATTAATACTGCAAATGTCTGGGAATCCACCCTGAGTTCAGTAACTCAGGATAGTAAAGAAAGCGAAAACCTATAGGAGAGTTGGGATTCAGAGAATCCTTTTTTCACTAAATTCTCATTCCTGGTAATTTCCATTGCCCTGCAAAGGAGCCACTTGCTTTCTGCAGTGTCCCAGCTCCCTATGAGGGTCTTTAGTTCCTGGCTTACCTGAGACCACCCCTCCCTCCTCTCTGTCAACACTTCTTTCTCCACCTGTCCCAGGATGCTATGGGTCCCTACGTCTTCCTTCTATTTGCGGTCCTCCTGCTTGGCTTCTTCATCTTCACCTTCTTAAGAGTGCCTGAAACCCGAGGCCGGACGTTTGACCAGATCTCAGCCGCCTTCCGCCGGACACCATCTCTTTTAGAGCAGGAGGTGAAGCCCAGCACGGAACTGGAGTACTTAGGGCCAGACGAGAATGACTGAGGGCAGGCAGGAGTGGGAGAGCCAGAGCTCTCTACGCCCCGAGTCCCCTCCTTCCTCTGCAGCACTTTAACCTTCTCTTCCCCATTACTTCCAGGGTGGAGAAAACCCTGCAGCCTGGTGGAATTGGGAAGCTGGAGGGAAGGGTGGTCTGAGCACCCCCTCATTCCCCTCGTGTGACTCTTGGATTATTTATGTGTTGTGGTTAGGCTGTGGCCATCAGGGTGGGCCATTCTCCCCTCTCGTCCCCTCCTTCCTCCATAGTCCACCCCCACCCCTCCCAGCCTCAGCTCCAGTATACTTCGTCCCCCTGCTAGAGAAGGGGGATTGGAGGGAGGGGAGGCTCTAGGACTGACTTTTTAGTGGAGGGGAACTGAAGCCAAGAGCAGGACTGGAGAAGAGAAATTGAGTTTCCTGCCACCTTGGACTCCTCCTACTCACTGGCACTTTCTCTGAATTCTTGCCACATAGACTCTGGGTGAAGGGGTGGTCTGTCCTGACCCCTCCAGGGCAAAGGACGCACCCTCCCAAGGTCTAACCTCACCTCTCTCACTGCAGGCTCAGTCCTCTCGCTCGACCTTCCAGGGCGAGAGGGAACACGTGCCCATATGCGGCGACAAGAAGGGACAGCAGGCTCCTGCCTCTAGACTTAGGGCTCTGGGTCCTACCCTGACTGCTCCCCAAGGCTGCCAGGCGGGGGTCCCAGCTCTTTCATCCTCCCTCATCCTGGAAGGGTGTTGCACCCACAGACTTTTGACCAACTAAAGGAAAGAGGGATTTGAAAGGCTGCCTGTAAACACTGGGCTGGGAGGACCCTTCAGATATTTTTGTATATGTTTGAAAAAGGAGTAGGGAGAAGAAACTGAAGGTCTGTTGTACTGAATGTATATATATAGATACGTATATAAAGTCACTGTTTGAGACGAGCGTCCTGTCATGTGGAGGCACTCAAGGATGGCTGGGACAGGGACCGTGACTTCCCTTCCCCGCTCTGCCTCTTCTCTAGCCTGCCCTAGCCCGAGGCTGCAGATTCCTCTGGGTGCTGTCACTCATGCCCCCGCTTATAGTTCTAGTCGTTGCTTTATTAATAGTCAATGCTCCATAAGTTGTAGCTGCACGTGCCAGACACTGCTCTCGGCACCTTACAGAACACTCGTCCTGCAAGGGAGGAAGGCCCCTCTTACAGAGGGGGAAAGTGAGTCTCGCAGGGGTGGAAGCACTTGCTCAGGCTGCACAGCTAGAAACGCGGGCACAGGGATTCCAGAGCAGGCCCTGCCCACTGCCCCACATCCGCCTCCTCCCGCCTTCAGCAGTCAGTGATCGATCGGCGAGTCTCCAAACAGAAAAGAGGCAGAGACCAGGACCACAGGAAAGCCTGTTTTTGTTTTTACTGGAGGCTCAGGTGGCACATGACTGTTCATAAAATGGCGTCAGAGGTAGGGGGTAGGGGGAGAGGGGAAACAAAAAATAAACTGGAATGGGAAAGAAAAACAACCAGGAGGAGGTAAGAGCTGGCTGGTTCCTTCTCAGCCTGATTTAGGGGAGGGAGGTGGTGCCTCTGAACAATAAGGATGGATCCCTTCCTTCAACCCTTGGTAGGGGAGAGAAAAAAAAAAAGCAAAAGGCTGTTGCTTTGGCCCTCCTGAGTCTCAAGGAAAAGCGGGGAAAGCCGGTGTTTTGATGTCATGAATTATGGGAAAGGGGGGAGGGGGATCCTGGGTAGGATACAGGTCAGTTGGAAAAACTGGCAGATACCTGAGAGAGAAAAAGAAATGGGCAGTCATGATAGCCACCTATGACAACCCAGTCCCCTGCTCTCTCGGCTACATGCCCTGGGCCTCCCCAGGAACAGCCACTCACCAGATGGTAGCTCTGGGTGTCCTCTGAGTTGGAATCACTCCAGTAAGGTGGTGGTGGGGTCCCCACTGTTGATGGGGGCTGAGGTCTAGAGAACAGGGGTGTTCAACTGAGACTCTCTTGTCCTTTAGAGCCCCCAACTTCCACCTTCTCCCACCTGTCTCTTCCATGCCCACAGCCCCTTCCCGTTCCTCCCCAGTTCACATCCACAAGCTGGTGCTGTGCCTCCAAGCAGAGCTGAGAGGAAAGTCTGTGGGCAGTGACATGGGCTTGATTGCCTCTGCTGGGGTTTCCTGGTGGGTGGGGTGCCTGCCAGGGCTGAGCCCAGCAGTACTGGCTCTTGGGTGTCAGGCTGCATAGAAGGGGGTGGGGTGGGGGCAGGGCCAGGACACAGGGGAGCAAAGGAATAGAGTGAGAGAGGAAAAGAAGAGGATAGACAGAAGGAGGGGAAGAAAGGAGAGGGGGAAGTTGACCCCAGCCTTTTCTTTCATCCCCCCCCACCAGAGGTAGACAGTCCAAGGTCCTCACCTCTGGGGCTGTGGGCTGCCTGGGTCCAGGGGGCTGCTGCCTTCGCCGCTGGAAGTAGGGGCGGTTTCGTGGGCGCTGGGGCTCAGGCCGGGAACCATCAGTGGGGCCTTGGCTGGGCTTGGTCTCACCATCCCCACCTTCTGTGGTAGGCTGCTGGGGTGGCCTGGGGCGGAAAGGCCTGGGGAGAGAAGTGGGGACCCTGAAGGGAGCAGGGAGCCCCGTTCACCACTGCCCTCTCTCCCAGCACTCCTCCAGCAGGGGTGGACTAGCTGCTTCCCCAACCCCACATCCACCCCCAGGAGCCAGGCTTCCAGCCCCTGGAGCCTGCTTCTCCCTGGGCACCCAAGCAGTAATCGCTCAGCTGCCCAGCCCTCCTCACCACTAGCCTCAGGCTCTTCCTAGGACTTAGCTCTTCTCCTTCCCATCCTCCTGTCCCCTTCCCCTTGGGGACCAATACTGGATGGTGAAGGGGAAGATAGAGCCCTGAAGAGGGAATCTTACCTTCGGTACCTGGGCCGGAATCTAGGTGGGGGGACACGCTCATCTCCCTGCTGCTGGTCCCCCTCCAATGGGGCTGTCTCTTTGGGTTCTACCCCGTCAGTGCCCTGGGGACATACCAAGGCCGGGGTGAGCGGTGGAAGACCAGGTGCCCAGGAGCCAGGTCTCCACAGCTCTTCCCAGGACTCAGCTCTGCTTCCTCTGGGGACTCTGTGGTCTCTATCCTCACCAACTGCCACTCCTTTCCCAGGACTTGGGCAGCTGCTTCCACATTCCCGGTTCCTCTCACCTCCATAGACTGCTGCTGATTGGGGGGCCGAGGGCCTCGCACAAAGCGCCGTCGGTAGAAGAAGGGTGGTGGGCGCCGCCGTCTGGGCCGCTGCCCCGAGTCTTCAGCTCGCTCCCCTTCGCTGCCTGCTTCTGTCCCGCCTGATGGAGCCTCTGCCACCATGGGTGGCGGGGCAGCTGGGCGAGGCCGGGGAATGAATCGGCGGAACCGACGGCGATTGGGGGCATAGCGGCTGCCTTTCACTGGCACCCCCCCGGGCCCAGTTACATTAGCAGCTTCTGCACCCTGGGAAGGAGATGGGGAGGAAACAGAACTTGCTCCAACGACAAACGCACAACGTTCCAAAACTTGCTCGGATCATTAGTCCTCCCCTTCTTCCAGCTAAACGCGCCTCTCCAGCTTTCCCTCCGCTCCTCTAACTTCTGCTTCTTTCCACCCTCCCTGGGGGGCAATGGCATGTGTATGGACATGTGCAACTTGTCCTTTTGAAATAGCTGCTACTGGACCCTCTTAAGACTGGCGGTGGGGACGGAGAAGAGGTCTGGCAGCAAGCGTCCATCTTGCTGCAGAGGGCTGACGCTGAAAAGAGACCCTGGGGACAGGGCCCTATGTGGAAGGCAGACATGGAAGTGCTTGGTGAATTACAAGGAAACCCAGATATGACTGACTGATGACACGGACATGTTCTTTAAGACATCCCTTAGAGTAGCCAGAGTGTTGATGACAGTGTCTGCATGAGAACACGGTCCCTTCCCACAGCCTGGGCTAACGGGCCAGAGGAAGAGCTGGCATCCAGAGGGCCAAAGCCTGAGATGAGCTCCAGGCCACCCTCCCACAAGTTTGGTCAACTCTATATCCCACCGCAGCCCCCAAACCTTCTCTCCTTCCACGACATCAAACTCCACAGTCTCCCCATCTCCAACGCTGCGCAGAAACTTCCTGGGGTTGTTTCTTTTAATAGCTGTCTGGGTAGGGGAAAGGCCACGAGAAAGGTGAGGACAGCAAGCCGGAGGTCTCTCCCTCCCCTGCTGGGTCCACCACCCAATTTCATTCTTTTCATCATATTACTGGTGGGCTAGGGCTAGAGGGCAGCACAAGAAGGTAGTCCAAGTTTACTAGGGGAAAAGCCATAAGCGAGGGACCTCAGGAATGATTGTGCAGTTACTACTGTCCCCAGGATACACTCCCTCCTCCCCTTACCCCTCAGGGATTTCAAAAAGGGAGGCAAGAAACTGGAACTCAAATGCCAAACGAAAAGCAGACAGTCTGAAGTTGCAAAGTGGGTAAAACGGACTGTGCTTCTTACCTCAGTCCCACTGAGAGCTCTTTCCACCAAAGTGGTGGTTCTCAAACTGTGGCAGCATCAGCATCACCTGGAGGGCTTGTTAACAGACTGCTGGGCCCCTCCCCCAAGTCTGATTGATTCAGGAGGTCTGAGGTGGGGCCTGAGAATTTGGATGTCAGGTGATGCTGCTGGTGCAGGGACCACACTTGGAGAACAACTGCACCCAAGTATCTCTAGGCTAGGTCCTTTCCCTCTGAACATTGCCTGTGATTCATTCCTGTAGTGTGAACAGGTCCCAGGAGGTAGTGAGCATGCCGTGCCTGGAGGGCAACAGGTACACTTCTTACAGAGACAACCCAACACAAGTGGGGCCAATGGCAGTTAATACAGGCACCTGAGGCAGATGGGGAGCGGAACTATTTCCTGGTGGGCATGCTGTTGTGAGAGAAAAGCTAGAAAAACATGATCTGTGCTGCTAAGGATTATGGCAAAGGCCCTCAAAGAGAGGGTGGGTTCCTCCCCTCAGAAAGCCAGCCTAGCTCTTACCTGGTGAACAAAGACGTCCTCCTTGGTGTCATTCCTGCAGAACAGGATGGCTCATTAGGGGGACTCACCTCCACTGAAGCCTCCCTAGCTGCCCATTCCTTAGATAGTGGGGACCACTCTCTCCAGCCTTCCATGGCTGCTCGGGGGCAGACAAGGCCCAGGGAGTGAGATAAGAGCCAGCAGGGCCCTTGGAAGCTGGTATGAAGAGAATATACCTGAAATCTCAGTGAAAAACCTGGGCTTCATGAGAAGGGTGGAGGGTGAAGGCAAAGGCACCTTGAAGGAGCTGGGCCAGCTCTTCACCTGCTGAGCACTCCACCCTCTACCCCAGGGGCACCTTAGAACCTGGTAGTGCTGGGTGTAACTGTCCCTGGCCAACCCCCCCAACCCCCATCATGGCTGGAAAATTCCACTGTCTCCTTCCTTCTACAGTCAAGGGGTGAGAAAGTGGGGTTGGGGAAGAGGTGCAGAACAAGTTTGAGAAGGGGACAATGTGTCAAGAACTTGCTCCAAACAGCCACAAAACTTGATTCTCACCCTGGGCCTAGAGGTGAACCCCAGGGGCAGCCTCCCTCTCCACACACCAAGGGGTCAAGGATGAGAGAGAATAGTGGATCATTCTCTATCACTTCCTTGCCTATTACCCCAGTTTATCCTCACACCCCAATGGGGGAGGAGTGGAGAGGTTTTCCTTTAGAACCTCCCAGGAGTCCTGTTTCCAGAATTAGAGAGGGACCCTTCCCTAGAACAAATGTTCTAGCTTTAAAGCACTTGGATCTGTACAAAGGTCAGCCTGCTTAGAGGGAACTGGGGCCTCCCAGGAGGGCTGGGCTGGGCAGGGTGCCCAGGCTGGGGAAGGGCCCACTGGGGGAGACCTAGCTCTGCTCAGAATCTACCACTGTGGCCCCTCTCAGTGCTGGGAGGGGGTGGGGCCGCCAAAAAAGAAAGCAGCAGCCTCTGGCTGGGCTGGCCCATTCCTTCCCCACCCCCACCAGCCTCAGTCCCAGCAGGTGGGGTATTCAAATGAGCCAACAGCTCTCTAAGGGACATGAGTTATGAGAGTGCTATGTGTGCTGCCCGAAACAGGAAATGAGGATTCCAGCCTGGAGCCCTGAGGCACAGAAAGCAGGGACATGCTGCCCCAAAGGCGGCAAACTAAACCAGAAGATGAGACAGACAAGCTGGGAGGGTCAGAGCCAGGTTTGCCAACTTCTTAGATCATTAACCCTCTGCTGCCCTTGAAGATGTGGAGGCTTCATCTTGCCCACATTTGTGCTGCAGTTAGACTTTTAATCAGCGTCAGCTGGACATTGCAACCATGTGCCTTGGCAGGGTAGAGATGAGGCTGGGAAAGTGTCCAGTCCCACAGGCCAGTTTGGAAGACACCGTTCCACCCCCTCCCTGGGTTCCTTGGATACCTGTTGATGAAGCCGTAACCATTCCGGACGTTGAACCATTTGACAGTGCCCAGGACTTGGATTGCTGCCAGGCAGACATGCAGTGGGGACAGTAAGATGAGGGAAGAGATGGAGTGGAACTCAGTTCTGAGACACTCCAAAATCTAACTTACCTCCCTATTATCTATTAAGCTTAACTTCAAGCCAACCAGGTTCCACCCAGCAGCTTCAAGGTATTCTTACCCCAGATCCACCAAACGGAAGCGCCCACACAGCCAGGCTCAGGCTTTCAAAACCCTTCCAACTCTAAGGCAAGTTCCTCATATGCGACAAATCCAGGCCCCTCACCTAGAACCGGGTACTCACCTGGTCCACGAAGTCCCACCCCCAGTCATAACTGAGGGCTTTTCTAGCCCAATATAAGGGTCCCTAGTGCACCTGCTTCCGGGGCTCAGAGATTTACCTAGTACTGACCTGAGTCAGCTAGGCCAAGTCAACCGCCCCGGGGGCGTGGCCAGACCGTGAGGTTTTATCCTCCACCCCAAGGTCCCAGCTGGACCTGTGGACCACGCCCTCCCGCCCAGGAAGGCACAGCAGCATTTCCCACCAGCGGAACCCACTTTGGTCCGCTGCCCCCAGCCCAGCTAGTCCTTTGAGCCTCCAGGCCAGGCCCGCTCAGCTTTCCGACCCCACCGGACTCCACGTTGCCCCTCCCCCAGCCCGCCGACCCCTTAGAGCCGCCCTGGCACGCGCCCCCCCCTCACCCAGCACCGGCTTGTCCGCCTGACTCCGGGCGGGGGGTGCGGGGGTCCCCGAGGCCGCCGTCGCCGGGTTGCCAGGGGTGCGAGGGCCCGGCGCTGAAGGGGTCCCAGCAGCGGGGCCCGTGGCGGCTCCGACCCCGCCGCCGCCCGCCCCGCCGCCTGCTTTCTGTGGCTCCCCCGCGGGCACCGGTACCACCACCGCTACCACCCCTGCCGCCGTCGCGGGCACCGTCGCCGCGGGGGCCGCTGTAGCCACCGCTGCCGCCTCCGCCTCGCTCATCCCGCCGGGTCCAGTACCGGCCCCCGCCGCCACCTCCTGCTCCGCCACCGCCTCCGCCACCGCCCCGGCCCCTCCCCCAGGCTCGCGAACCCGCCGCCCCGCTCGGTCCTCGCGCCCCGAGCCTCGCCCGCACGCCGGCAGCGGGCCCTGAGCCGAGGCCAATCGCAGCCCGCAGCAGCGGCGCGCGCAGGCCCCGCCTCCGGGCCACAGGCCAATCCTAGCAGAGCAGCCCCCCGACCCGCACGCCGGCCCCGCCTCCCGGACTTCGCGCCGCGGCCGAGGCCCCCGCCCGCAGCCCTGTAAGTACACCTGGGCCCCGCCCCGAGGCCATCACGTGACCACACCCAGCCCAACCCATTGGCTGGCGGCCCCTTTCCCCTCCCCCGTACGCCCCTTTCCACCGGCCGCGGGAAATCAAACGGGCTAGTTGCGCCCCAACCGCCACCTGGCGTCTGCGCGAAGGGCGGGGCGGCGGGCGCAGTGCCAAGGTTGCCCCTGACGACAGGGGTTGGCGGCTGGAGCCAGCATCCTCGGTTCTGGCTGTGAGCGGCGCCACTCACCTCCATCCCCGAGACCGGCCTTGCCGGCACTGTCGGGTGTGGACTCCTTCTCCCAGCCCGCCCCCTCCCTCTCCCTAGACGATGCACCGCACGCCCCGGGCTGCGGTATCCGCCCGCGCAGCAAGCTGGAAGGCGCCGCAGAACGACTTTCCCAGCTCACGGTTGCTCTCACAGCCGGGGCCTCGCACTTTTATTTTGTTTTTGAGCTAAATTTTACATGTAGCAATATGCACAACTCTTCGCTGAGTTTTGATAAACGTGTTCATCCATGTAGTCAACACCCTAATCACGGTATTTTTCCCTCGCATTAGAAAGTCCCCTCGAGCCCGTTCCAGGCAATCCCAGCCTCCCCGCTGACCACCGCTGTTCTGATGTCTACCACTCTAGATTAATTTCAGGGTCCACCGTGCTGGGCGTTGTGGGCTCAGCCAGGCGGGGCCTCCCGCCCCGGCTCCCTGCCCTCTGCCTGGCCACTGTCCTCCACCTTCTTTCATTTCTCCAACTGGCCAGGCTCTTCGGACTCAAGGGCTTTGCTCAGGCGGTTTCTTCTGCCTAGAACGTGTCCTCCGTGTCTCTCAGGGTGACTTCTTCAAGTACCAGCTTACAAATCACTCCTCAGTATCACATCATCTTTTATTTTTCTCATGGCATTTTGGAAAATATGAAAGTATCCTGTTCCTTTGCTTCTTTATTCTATTCCTACTCCCACCCTGTCCCCTCCGCAGTGCTAGACTGTGACTTCCACAGCAATGAGAGCCTTGTAGTTGTGCCTGACGCCTGGAGCAGTGCCTGGCACAACATGGGCGCTCAATATTTCTTGAATAAATGAATGGTTCCCATTCCACAGATGAGAAGACTGAGGCCCGGTACGAGACTTGCCCCAGGTTTCTCAGGAGCCCTGGAGGTCCAGCCCGGGAGCAGCAATCTCCCTTCCAAAATAATGCGGCTTCTTCCGAGGGCCGCCTCCCCGACAGAGGAGGACGCGGCTGGCGCTAAGCAGGGCGTATTTTTAGCCGGGACAGCACGCTCCCGGGCAGCACACGTGCCCCCACGCGCTGCTCGGCCCCACGTGCGCTTCCCGAGTCCTGGTGTCCCCGCCAGGCCCTGCGTCGGCTCCCCAGCTGCGGCCACAGCCGCCGCCAATCTCGGTCCCAGCGCGCCCTCTGCCGGCCGCTCCCGGAGGCCGCCGGCACCGGTTTCCTCGCGGTCCTTCCACCAACTACCCCGCCCACCCCATCCCTCCGGCCCTTTCAGGATTCTGTTTCCCGGGGCATCCGACACAGTGGACAGAAAAAGAAAAGATGAGAAAACAACTAAATCACAAGGCGAGGCCGTGAAAGATACAGAAAATACCGCCCTGCCTTAGACTGTTAAGGACCAATTTACCTGTGCCCAGCCCTGAGCTCAAGGACTGCCAGCCGCATGAGACCAAGGCTGGGGGAAGACAAGCGAGAATCTTCCCAGTGACCCCGGCAACAAAGGGATCACATGAAAGGTACAGAGGGAGCGCAGGTGTGGACTGGTTAACGATAAGATTAGAGGGTAAGATGAAAGGAAGCTCTTAGGAAGGGTGAGCCCTGTTTGTAGTCAGATTAAAAATATGTCTGGAGACCAGGGGTGGAGGCGCTGCACGGAAAAGCACTCCCTGCCGATGACACGGAGTCAAGAAACACACATGCAACAGTTACATGCTCTCTGTCCCCATGGATAAGAACTAGCAGATGCCACAGAGAGATGCAGTTAATTTCCCTATTCAGTTCAAGGGTTTGTGCATGTAATTTTCTGGTTATTTAAATATTTCTAAGTGCTATAGTTAACAAGGGCTCCAGGCGTTCTAGAGAAAAGGCTTTCTCCTTTTTCTGTCACTCTCCATTTGCTCCTGCCCACCTGAAGTTGTCTTGCCTATGTTGTTCACCGTTTAAAGAACTAAAGACAGAGCCCCTGCCTCCTTAACTATTGTCCTATACATCTCCGTTAATTTAACACCAAACTTCCAGAAAGTAGTCTTTACTGTGTCTACTTCCTCATCTTTCTTTCACACCCCACCAACCCCAATCTGATTTCTGCCCCCACCGCGCCGACAAGGTGGCTTCAGCAGTGGTCCACAATCTCTTCTTAATGGGGTTTGGTTTTTGGTTCTCTTTCGACTCCATCCACAGAAGTGTTCCTGCCACAGCTTCCACAGCCCAGCCTTCCTCCATGCCCTCATATCTCTCCTTCTGTGGCTTGTTCTCCTCCACCAGCCTCAGTCTTTCCCGGACTGTCTTCTCCTGCCACCTGCCTGCTGTTGGTCATTTTACCCAGTCCCCTGGTTTTGGTGACCACCTGCTATTGATGGCTCTTAAACCTGTGTCTCAGGCCTGAGTCCCTCCCACCTTCTAGCAGACTCTGAGCCAGGCTCTCTCTAGCCAATTGCTCCTCAGGCTTCTGAAAGTTGACAAGCCCGTGTCTAAGCTCCTCTTTCTCCTCCCTCCCACACCCTGCTCGCCGAGTTATACCACCACTTACTCACAATCATTCTTTAGTGCCCATTCCTCATTTGTAGAACAGTTTCTCCTGGATGCCCAGGCTTAGTACATCAAAGGTGAAGATTTCTGGTATCAAATTGAGATAATATTTGGAAGATTTAAAAGATGGTGTCACCTCTGTCCTCTAGTACCAAATACTCCCAGCAAGTTCCCCCTGCAACTGTCTCATTGCAGCCCAAATCAGAGTTCGCTTCTCTCTTCTAATACTTGCTCTCTTGTTTCTCAACTGCCACAGAGAGTGTTCCACGCCACTCCATCTTCTCTCCTCCCATTTGCTCTTTAGCTGCCGCTGCCTCTGTCGTTCCCTCTTCCCAGGCTCCGCTGGCACTCTGCCAAATCCTTGACCGTTGCCTGCACCCACTACCTCTTTGTCCTGGCTGCTGTATCTGATACTTGCCACCTCCTTCTTGAAACCTCCTCCTTGTCTTGTTTCTTTTTAACCTAATAGCAGTAAGAGTTAATATTTATTGAGCAATTACTATGGGCCGCACACTGTGCTAAGCACTTTAGATGCCTTCAGTCATTTAGTGCTTACAACAACCCTGGGAAGTGGATACTATTATAATATCCCCATTTTGCAGATAAGGAAACTGAGGTATAGTGAAGTTAAGTAACCAGCCTAAAGTCACACAGCTGCAGAACAAGCCAAGCTAGGAATCAAATGCAGATCACCTAACTCCGGAGCCCACCTTCTAAGTCACCACCCTCCTTCTGCTGTGCTGGGACTACACTTGTCCATCTTCCTCAACAATCCCTTGGTCCCGCATCCCCTCTTGTTCTTTCCATATGTCAGGTTTTTCCTCCCAAACTAAATTTCTTGAAAGACTGTCTGCATTACCCAGGCTCTGCTTCTTGCCTTGGCCTGGCATTCAGGAAAGACTCTGACGTCTGCCATATTACCTAGTTCAATGGGCACCTTTTTGCCCTCCACTTCTTTTTTTTTTTTTTTTTTTAAAGATTTTATTTATTTTATTTTTCCCCCCAAAGCCCCAGTGGATAGTTGTGTGTCGTAGCTGCACATCCTTCTAGTTGCTGTATGTGGGACTCGGCCTCAGGATGAACGGAGAAGTGGTGCCTCGATGCGCACCCGGGATCCGAACCCGGGCCACCAGCATCGCAGCGCGCGCACTTAACCACCAAGCCACAGGGCCGGCCCATGCCCTCCACTTCCATGTGACAGATGCAACTTCTTTACGGGCTCCAGTCTTTTGCTTGCCCCTTCCTAACGGTCAGAGTCCCCAGTTCTTCTGTTCTTCTGACTCTATAGCCTCTCCTGTGGCAAGCTCATCCACTCCCACTGCTTCAGATACGATCTGTCATGGGTAGAATTGTGTCCCTTAAGAATATATGTTCAAGGGGCTGGCCTGGTGGCGCAGCGGTTAAGTGCGTGCGCTCTGCTTTGGCGGCCTGGGGTTCACAGGTTCAGATCCCAGGCGCGCACCGATGCACCACTTGTCAAAGCCATGCTGTGGCGGCGTCCCATATAAAGTGGAGGAAGATGGGCACGGATGTTAGCCCAGGGCCAATCTTCCTCAGCAGAAAGAGGAGGATTGGCATCCGATGTTAGCTCAGGGCTGATCTTCCTCACAACAACAACAAGAAAAGAATATATGTTCAAGTCCTAACCTCTGGTACCTGTGAATGTGACCTTATTTGAAATAGGATCTTTGCAGATGTAATTAAGTTAAGATGAGGTCACTGAGGTGGGCCCTAATCTAATCTGACTGGTGTCCTTATAAGAGGAAACTCCACCTGAAGACAGACACATGGGGAGAATGCCATGTGATGACAGAGGCAGAGACTGAAGTGCTGTGGCCACAAGCCAAGGAACACCTGGGCTACCCGAAGCTGGAAGAGGCAGGAAGGATCCTCTTTCCAAGGCTTCGGAGAGAGGATAGCCCTGCCAATATCTCGATTTCAGACTTCTATCCTACAGAACTGTGAGAATAAATTTCTGTTGTTTTAAGCACCAAGTTTGTGGTACTTTGTTACAGCAGCACTAGGAAA